ATTATTCACAAGGGGCTATCATATTCTGTGAGACAAGGAGGAATGATCAGTGTCAACTTCCAGTCAGGAGTCGATTAGTGGCACAGACACAAAGTTAGACAACCTTGTGTCATGCTAGAAGTTCATGATGTAGTTCTGTGCCGATTGTGTCTGTGTCCCTGCCATGTTTTGTCCTTCACAGCTGCCGTGTCAGCTGCATGCTTGTAAAAGGTTTTGCTTGGATCCTCACTGACGCCCCACCTGCTCAGGTTACTCCCGTAGGAATATACCTTCTGTTGTCACTGTGACCTCCAGGTAATTCCCAGGAATTAACCTCAGACTTTGGAAAGTCTGGGATTACACATGTAGGAAGTGGACTTGTGTAAACTGTTGAAAAGAGCTGTGACGACTCGTCCAATTATCGGCCACTAATCAATTATCTGCCAACACTGACAGATCAATTGCATAATTATTTATTAATGAATTAGCTTAGGACACTGCTTATCCTTTTTTGTTATTTACTCAAACCTAATGGAATGTTTTAGCTTATACACTTATTTACTTCAGTAAAAATTACCAATTTGTAAAATGAAGAAGTCATTAGAGTTAAATTCGGGGAGGTTCCTCAATAAATAAGATATGCTAAAGGTAAAGAGTACTAAAAGAGCATCCAATGATGTAAAAAACCCATATCAGACTAAACATATTTTGTACTTGTATACAGAGAAGAATTAGACTTGGGAAATCAAGGAATCACATCTTTACTACGAGAAAAATTCCACTTGTGAAATCGTATTATTGTACTATTATCGGTTGCTGTATGACTGTAGAAAACTTACCACCTAAAGGTTTTGAAATAAAAACAATACGTTATGCAAAAATCTGCACTGCACTAAAACATGTTTTCAGTCTTTTCTCATTTCATGTTCAAGTTTATTACAAATAATAGATTTTTTTATTTTAGAAAGTCAACCAACTGCCTCTACTTTTTTATATTTGCAAAGGGCTAATCCTTGAATTGAACATGAAGATTTTTTGCCCTGCTGTTAAATGTTGGTGAACAAACCACAATGTATACCTTTGCCTTCCCTTTGACGTAACCTGTGCTCGTGATTAAATTCTCCTGTTCAGCGTGTGTAAACATAGGCTTCACGTACAGCAGAGGTTAGCTCTGGTACAATAGTGTAAATTCCCCCTGCGGTGTCCGACTTCTCACTGTTAAGGTGGCCAAGTGACCTGATATCCTGTTTGTCTTGGGAACAGAAATAAATCTGATTGTTGCACATCCTGCCGGTCACTGATCTGTGGCAAATACAGCCGTCGGGCATGAGGACTTTTTTTAGCCTCCATTGTATATGAGTCTGAAAACAATTGCAGTGTGTTCACAGTTAATTTTAATTTCCAAAGGATAAATTTGAAGTGTGATGATGCTGGTCTGGTCGTCTGAACGCGTGGGAGATTCATACTTGTTTTGGGCACAGGAGCTCCTCACATTATCATGCAAAATTAATTATTTGCCTCTTTTTTATGTCCCCCTGAATCTTGGAGCAATAAAGAAAAAAATGTGCCGGTGTTTTATTGAAATGAAATTATGGCATAATGTCACTTTTGCTATTAGCACTGAGAGTCTGTGCATACCAATTGATCCTGCTGTTGTCATAGCAACGTGAGCTACTAAACCTCTGTGCAGCTGTTGTTATGGAAGCTCTTGAACAGCTGGGGGGTGATAGCTGTGGAGGGATTGTGGGAAATGGGTCTTTTGGTCCTCCCTTCACACCTTGACCCCAAAACTACAACAAGCAAAAAGACAAGGATTCTTACAGGCATTCTACTAGATTCTTCCTGGTGCCACTAAGTGCCACCGAAAAGTTTTAGGCGGGAAGTTGTGAATATTCCATCATGTCTGTGCCCCCTTCAATCCTGCTTTGCCACAAATGCGAGCAATGAAATCAAATGAGCCAAATGAGAGTAGATTCTCTCTGAGGAGCCTGATGCATTGGAGCATATCCCATTATTGATATGAGCAAATGTTGTACACGGTGCAACAATAAAACAATCGTTTCACAAGGAGCACAACTGAGTCCAATTCCTTCAGCCATATTAAAGCTCAAATGTAACCCAAGAGCAAGGTCTCAACCTCCCGCTGTTTGAGCTAATGGACTTTTCACTGTTAATGTTTCTGTGCTATCAGCAGGACTATAAAATGACAAGAATTAGTTGCTCATGTCAGGAGGCTTAATTTACAGTGATGAAATATGCTAAAGAATCTCAAATGACATAAAAACTTTGTTGATTCAAACAGTAACAGTAAAGACTGTCTTGGTAAAACTGACTAAACTGTCATTTTTAAAATTCATTTTACCTACAGATAACACTCTACAAACACATTAGAAAACTGACAGTCACCTTTTCCCATTTTCAAAACTTCACATACAAAAGTTTATGAAACAAAACACTGATATACTTAGAACATTTCTTTTTCAAATTATGTTCAAGTTAGGGGTGGGAATCTCCCAAATCCCACTGTTTGATTTGGTTATGATTATGAGACATGCAATTATTATTTAAAATAAAATTATTTAAAATTTAAAATTATTTTAGAATAATTGAAGGAAATAAGAAGAGTATGCCAACACATGAATCAATAGAAAATAAAATTAATTACATTTCAAATCCACTGCTAAATGACAAGATTATTCAGAAAAAATACTTTTATTAAAGCATGTAGAGCAGCCTATCCCTCTGGTTATTAGCAGACAAACACAATGACATTTCTGTGTGTTCTTCTTTCAGAAGTTTGACTATTAGAATCTGTACAGCTGGAAGTTGGCATAAAATGTTGGCATCGTATTTGTCTCCTACTGCTACGTTATCTCTTTCCTCACTGTGTGTAGTACGTGTTTGCATATGCAGTGGCTACAGTGTAAGTGATGGTGGGCAGATTGAGGAATGCTAATGTTTCCTTTGTGGCTTTTGTGAGGAACACGGTGATTAGACCTCCAGCCCCCTGGGTGGAGCCCCGCGCTGCACGGGCTCTTACTCTGATTTACTTTTGACGTCAACAGGAAGGTCAGTTGGGTCCCAAAGGGGTCATGGAGGGGTGGGGAACAACTTGTGTGTGCCGGGCCTCAGCACATGGAGACGCTTCTTCTAGATCCCAGACGGGGCTGGAGGAATGGATGAAGAAGGAAGGCCCCTTGGAGCTTAGGGAGGACTTGGGGAAGGATTACTGGGCGGCTAAAATGTTTTCTTTGTGCCTGAAGGAAACCTAAGAAATGCTCTCAACCAAATCCCTTCTGTTCTGAAGGACTGTTTGCAAGGGGACTCCTAAAAACATTGGTTGTTGTGCTTTAACGTTAAACAGTTGAGAACCCTTGGTATTTTATTTTAAAAACATTTCAACTGCAACTCAGTTATACTTCCCAAATTAATACTATATAAAAAAGAGGAACAGTACTACTTTTGTGAGATTTCCCAGATTTAGCTAAGACACCACAAAATGCCACGTTGCTATTTATTTAAAAGTAAAACTTTTTGGAGGTCGACAGATGGATGATGGATGGATGAGTGATGGATGGATGAGTGATATGCAATCAACTAATACAATGTACAGTATATATGTCCCTACCATTTGACTGGTTCGTCTAAGAAGATCTCAGTCCCTGACATCAACTCTGTAGTAGACAGATGTGTTTTAATGACGACAGACCATTAAGGCTGTATAATGGTCTGTATATGACTTGTGTTTTAAGGGTGTGTGGATGGCAGTGCTGGGTGTAGTGATGTGTTTTCAAAGGTAACGGGTAGAAGGGAATTTCTTTCTAAGCCCATCAAGACTGGGCCTCTGTAGAAGATACCTACCACACACAGTAGTCCCCACTGAGTGCTGCGGTTCTGGCTAAATACCATTCCTTCAGAGGCTCCATGTTAGCAGGTCACTGGAGGGAAAGGCAGCCCGCTGAGAGGTTCAGCCACACTCCCACTGTTCTGCAGGAGCTTTAAGTGAAAGATCAGGTGTCCAGCCTTGAATGCTTGATTGAACTTAAATCTTTTGCATGTGTGCGTTGATGCTGTCTGTGGTACAGTGCTCTCTTTGGCTGCTCAGAGTAATTTGAGTCGCAGCAGCTCCTGAATGTCCCTATTTTCACCTGTGACATTGGAAACTATTTTTAGGGGAAATTAAATTAGTACAAAATGTTGACTGTAAATCAGTGTGTATGTATTCAACTGTGTGATCGAGTGTGTTCTTTTTTTTTCCTACAGGTTTGAGTTTAAATGTAGTAACTGCAACATAATGTACATTTCATACAGGTAATAATTGACAGGCTAACACAACTACCAAACCTTAAATACATTTCCAAAGTACTGCCGTACCAACACTTACACTAACATTTTGTAAATAAATGAAATGGAAACTTTTTATTTTTATTTTACATGGACAAAAAGCAATTATGTAAACTGGAATAAATCATCATTCAAGTTCAAATATAATTTGGTAACCTTCTGTTTGTTTTAGCATATTTGTGATGACTAGCTAAGACCAGACATGGTTGCTGACCACATGGTATTAATATAATTGAATTAATTAATGAACAAATGTAATATTTATTATATTTATTCATATTTAATATTTAAAGTGTAGATGTACTTTTTACTTGTGTAAAAAGTGTCTTAAAAATGTTTTGGTTTTTTAATTATTACTGAAGTATTTTACTGTTATTATTTATTTTTGGGTTTTATTGACACAGGAAACAGTACAAAGACTTTCTCTCCTTTTTCTAATCTTTGCCAGTTATTGCCTGCAAATTAGTGATTTATTAGCCACTGCCATTATCAGCACACGTCCTTCAGGCACTCAGTGTCGCATTAGATGAAAAAAACCATCTTGGTGCTTTGAGTTGAAAATGTGAAGATCATATATTAGATCCTGCTGACATTTTACTTTATAGCTTTTGTCCCTTGATGCTGTTTAAGGTCTTTTTCTCTGACAAATATTAAATGACCAAACTATTTTTCAACAGGTTCCATGCGCAAAATTGGACACCAGGCAACAGAAGAGACGACAACACTAGGGGTGCTGCGTCGCGGTGGGCAAACTAATAGTGAGTGATACCATATCATTTTCTTCTAAGGTTCCTTCGTGCTGTTTGAGTTAGTGATACGCTTCGAAGAACTTCTAAGTGGTCATGTCTCTGCCAGTATGTTTGCAGTCTTTGTTTGGATTTTCAAGCACAGAGTCAAATGTAATCATGCTGTAAACTGGGCAGGCAGGATAAACACTTAATAATGCAACGCTGCAGTCCAACCAGGTCCTTTACTTTTTTATAGTATTTTGTAGTTTTGGACAGAAGATATTTTCATAATTGTCAGTGTACACTAAAGATATAACCAAATAAATTTAATTCAATGTCAATTTACCTTGTTGATTATAAGCGTTAGCTTTGGATTTTAGTTGAGGCTAATTGTTAACTGCTTTGTCCTAGGCTACACATAATTTAAAAAGTTGATCTATTGTAAAATATGTTTTAGTTCCCTTGGACTGATGTTTTTTCCTTTTCCTTATCCAATCCTCCCTTTTATTTTTTCCGTCAATTTTCTATTTTACTGTTTGCACGTGGCAAACAACCGAAAACTTCTAAGGAAGATTTGTTTTTTTTTAAAGTTGAAATAAACCTGTAAGCTTTAAAAAAGCTTTTATTGGTCTCATTACTACTGTCCTGCGCAGAGGACATAGACAGTGTCCTTAAAATGTGAAGTCTCTCTTTACTGCTGTCTACCATCATCCAACTGTGATTTGAGTTACTCTTTAATTTCAAATTCTTTTTAATAGTTTCACTTATTTCTGAGGTAGTAAGGCAAGTCTGTGAAATAAAGAGGGGGTGTTTACAGAGAACTATGTGTTTTCAAATTCATTTTTTCTTGAGTGGGTTAGCTCAAACCTTAGCATGATAATCTTTTTTTTCTCTCTTCTGGTTTAAAATTGTACATGTTTCTTCAGCCACTATGTTTTCATTTACATACATTTCCTGAAATACAGAATCATTTAAAAAATGCTTGTAACATTTATTTTGTAATGAATTTGCATGTGGCCAGATTTGAAATTGTTAACGGTCACAGTGAATAAAAAGGAACCAGGACTAAAGTAGATTATACAGTGGAGGTCCGGTTATACCAATATGTTTTCTCCAGTAAAGGCAGGACTAATTGCACAGCCCGTACCCCTCTTTACCCACACTCATAAAAAAAACCCTCTCATTTTTGATTCCCCACTAAGGATTGTTTTACGCCTAATTTTGTTAGACTTAATGAGATTTCACTAATTAAATCTCCTCCTGGTTGGAGACCCCCTCCACACCCCCGTCTTCACTCCCCCTTCTCGTAGTGCCCCCCCCCCCTCCATCCAGCCTTGAGCAATTGCTTATGGGCCAAATTTAGATAAATAAACTTTTTTTGCTGTTAGGATCGTTGACTGTGGGTTTCACAACGTCGGGCCTGTGTTACTCTTAGAGTTTCAATTTCGCGCCAAGATGCTCTGCTGCTCCTGTAATGGCCAATATCTGTGCATAGCTGTGAGAACAGGAAGTAGTTGTTGACCGCATCTTGATGTCTGTGCAACATTAGGACAATATCTTGCAGAAGTCGACTTCATCTCCAGGTGAAGGATTTGTAAGATCATTTTGTTCTGGTACTTAGTATTTAGTCTTAGGGACAAGACATGTTTAAGGTTCTTATATATATATTTTTTTACTTTTAAAATCCACTGCATTGCATAGCCAATCATATCCTTCCTTTACTTCATAAAAACAAAAATGCTGCTGCACATCAGCATTTAAGCTGTGGCTCTAGTTAAGCCTGATGCATGATGTTGTGATACAAGTGTATTTGTCCATGACATCTCACCTCCTCATTGGTTCAAACGAGTCTGTTGTTGACATGATAGATGGATGGATGGATGGATGGATGGATGGATGGATGGACAGATAGATAATAATAGCCACAGCATTAACTGTCATGTGTTGCAACATGGGAAGTAGTTAGTTGCCCTGCCATTGTAAATATCCCTTTGGGAATCTCATGCTGGCTTTTGTAGGAGTCAACCTCCCGTTTCCTGTTTGAACCCTGGACACCTGCTGCCAACATTAGAGCGTGGTTATTCAGCCAAAAAGTCAATTATACCCCCAACCCTCTTCCGTCACTGCGTCCACTGCTGCCAAGACTCCCCCAAACCTGCGTCTTTTATACACACACACACAAGCAGCAACACACCTTACACATCCAGGGAGGCCCCTGTTCTGTTGCCCTAATGTGGCTGAGTGGGCGATGTGCCCGTTTCTTGATAAAGGCCTTTGCTGATCAGGTTTCTGCCACCTGTCATTCAGCTTAGAAGGCAGGAAAGGGGCTAATAGTGGTTGTGAGTGGTAGAATTGAGGGGGCGAGGTGCAATGTGGGATGGGTGGCTTGGCTCATAGAGATGCCATGGCAATCTGGCATGAAGCCTGCAGCCTGCTGTTATTTCAGTGCAGCTCCTTAGACTTCACAAGATGTCAATTTAATGCATGCAGTGGTATGTTCTCTTTACGGTCCGAGTCGAGATAAAGATAAAATACCACTTAACACTTAAAGGTAGGATCAGTTTTAATAATAATAATAATAAATATTTTTGTTTCAGAGCTTTTATGCACAATGTTACTATTATTTATTTTAAGAGAATGTTCAAAATATTCTTTAAAAATATGAGAATGCTCAAAATGTTGTTACAAGTGCAAAGCAACAATTACCGTTTCATAAAGAGACACCTACTAGTGTGAATAACATAATGCGTAAAATAAAATGAAATTCAAGCAATACAGTGTTTTTCCATTATGTTAAGTCATATTGGCTGATAGGACCGATTAGAGCTAATCATCGGCTTTGTGTGTGTCCTAGCTTAGTGGCTATACAGAAGCTTAAGGCTACATTTTCATGATTATGTTTATAATATAATAATGATTGCTGTGTTTCGGGGATAGATCTGTGTGATGGCAATGAAAGATAAAAAAATGTAAATTAAGCAAATTACTATTACTTGAGGATATGAAAAGAATATCGGATGGCCTGTTTTTATACTGATATTTAATATAATTACTTAGTTAGATATGCATAGAATAGTCTTTTATGCAAAACTACTTCTGCTAGGACGCAGTTGTAATCACATCTTGTTTTTCAAGGCCTCTTATGTTTTTTTATGTTTTTATTTTTTGAAGCACTCGACCAAATCTAATTGTTAAGTAATGTGTTCCTCTTTTAGTAACGGCATACCTAGATAGCTGTACTGGAATCATTAAAATACTTCTGCCCCCTGTTTTTTGACCCATTTAGGTTTAAACACAAGCTAAAAGGCAGAAGTTTAAGGATCAAATGGCTAACGTCCGCTAGCTTTTATCCCACATTTATGGCACAAAATACCATAGGAACTGTTTGCTAAGATAAAAACAGGATCCATTTCATAGGGATTAACACTTCACTTAGCGCTTGAAAATAAATAGATTTGTCTTTTCTTTTGTATAGAGAGTCAGTTTTTCCAGTTACAATTGTAGCGCAGTTAATCTTACACACATATGTATAACTTTTAAGCCAACCTGTTAGATTAAGTCCTTAAAGTACTGATACACATTAGTATTGACAGCATCTGCTGTAGCCATAATATGCACATTTTCCTTCTCTTTTTTTTTTCTTTTTTTTTACTTTTTTTGAATTCTGGAGCGTCTTCTACCTGGGGACAGTAACACACTCATCTTTAGCTGAGATTTTCAAATTCTTAGATTGCAATCTGGCCCAGGGTTAAAAAGATTATCTGAACAAATGAAATGGTTTATGGTTTATTTTGGTGGCTAAATGGGAAATCTGACTTTAATCAAAGGGGGTTAGAGGCAAACTGGCGTGCACCAAAGCCATCTCTATGACCGCTCTCTTAGAGTGACACTTGTGCTCTTCATTATTGCTTCATTGTGTGATCCCACATTTGTCTCCACCACGTCTCTTTCACCTCACATCATCCTCCAATCCATCCATATCCATGTCTCCCTCACTCAGGCTCTTTACCCCAGCGCCTCTAATTGTAATTATGTTGATTTAACCTAGACACATGCGGCTCCCTCCATGCCATCTGAATGGGAGCTTATTAGTTAGAATATTTTTTTTATATTTATTTATTCCCATTTCTCAGGGTCCCTGTCGGCATTTCCAATTACTCTTGTCGTGCGGCTGTAATTGCCTCCATGCTAATGGCCGCCAGACAATCGTGCTAAATGAGGTGAGGCCGAGAGGCTAGGAGCCCGACTTCATTAAGAGCTAATGGGATTTTATAAGGGGGACTGAAGACCCAGCTCATCAAAAAGAGGGCGATGGAAGGCAAACAAAACAGATGGAGGGGGAGAGCCAAATCACCACTATTCAAAGTTAGCCCTCTCCCATTCCTGGCACTGGAATGAAAAAAGGACAGGTTACTCTTCCTCTGCAAGAAAAGTACCTAATTATAGTCAAAGACAATGTGACTGAAAGACTGCGGTGATATAGAAGAAATATGATAAATGGATACGTTTGCATAATTCCTCTGGCTATGCTGTTGAACTTAAAAAGAACCGGTTTTATATGTCGTTGGCTCTTAGTAGGGGTCTGGAGGCAGCTATTCACTTATTTGGCAGAGTAACAGCAATGGAAATGTATAAAGTATATATTTTAGAAGTGAGCGGACAGTCATGTCCAAGTCCTCCCACAGTTTTCACACTTTACTTAGTCAGAGAGAGACTCAGACTCACACTTGCATAGAGGGATGAATGTGACTGCATGGATGGAGCACAATGAGACCACAGCAGTAATTCAGATCTGTGTATTGGTCCGAGACCAAGAAAATAATAATTAATAAATAAATTCATGTGCGTCAAATCAGACGCAGACTTTGAAGCCAGATAATATATGTGAGAATACAAAAAGTTGTAGTATAGGTTACATAAATTGTAGTGAATCCAAAATGGAAACAGAAGAAATGTTTCCTTCTCTAAAAGTCTCAGATCGTTAACCCTTAATAGGAAATGGGTGTAGCCATCTGTAGTCAGCAGTCAAG